GATTAAATGTTAATGATAGTGTAATGCAGCCAGTGGAACATAAATTGTGGGGCATGAAACAAAGCTTTGTTTGGAAAACTGTGGAATTTGAAGCCTGCATGGAATAGTGTGGTATTGGATATGTTTGCAGTTATGATGCTATACAACCATATGATATATGTTTAAATTCAGAAAAGAGAAGATGTCATTACCAACTAGATCCTTTTTCACTTAATGGATCTGTAGTTGTGTATATAGGAAATAAATGTGTATGGTTTTGAAGTTGGTGTAACTGGTTTGAAGTTAATCGTTTGTTTATCATAACACATGATCCTCAGGAAAACCAATGTCTATGTAATATAACTACTGTAATAGGATGTGATTTTAATTTTTCATTGTCTGAAATAAAAAGTGAAGTTAAGGATCAGTTTCAGATATATAGCAAGGTTAACCCAGTACCATTGGGAATGAACATATGTTTAGTTAGGCAGCTATTAAGGCATCCTGACTTACAAAAACAATTACAGAAAGCTCAGGAAAGTACACAAAAAGTCATGATCATTGTACACCACTCTAATGATGAAATTGAACAAGTTATGGAACAAATACAAAAAGATGCGTGGTGGTGGAGGATATTTTTGGAATGGTCTCCCACAGCAACAGGATTCTTTAATGCTATTCTATATCCTTTAGTAATGATTTTGGCGTTTCAGGTTTTGGTGGCAATTACACTTATCATTTTGGTGTGCTTGCCCAAGCAGAAATTTAAGCAGCTAAAGCGTGTACAGTCCACAAGTATTAAAAGAGCTATAATGGTGCACAAGGTATGCAGCCTTAGTGAGGCAGAATCAGGGATGACGAGATATTGTGCCAGCAAGAAGAAATATCTGTTTGGTTTCAAGGAGAGCCTTGAGCCAATGCTGAACAAAACTGAACATCCACTGAACTCACTAATAGGTGTTGGGTTGGTTAAAAAAAAGTATATCACACAACAAGGAGGGGACTGATACATGAGATTTTTCTGGCTGCTCTATTCTGTGTGGAAATACAGCACCAGAAGCACTGTAAGATTTGAGCTTGTTTGAATTAGTGAAATTGGCGTGGTGACAGTGAAACATAATGTTAAGGTACAGATAAGTGTATAATTTGTTTAATAATCATAAGGATTTAAATAGTTAATAAAGATGGTTTTAAGTGGTTACAGCTAGGGAAAACGATGGCGGCCGCAAGAAATCAAAGCTGGGAAAACCAAACTGGAGGTCTTAAAATGATCTGGCCAATGGCAAGCAGGCAGGTTGGTGGTGAAATAAAGGTCAGTCCAAAAACCTGAGGAGAGAAGAACACAGGTTTTCAACCAGATCCAGCTTTGATTGACAGGTGACGGTCTTGAAGCTGATTGGCTGATAATGATAGGGATTGAAAAGAGAACCAATCAGGATAAGCTACGTCTGTATATAAGGCAGAGAGCTAATAGGCTTTAGTTAGTCTGTCAGTCTTAGGCTACGTCTTCTCTACTCGCCTGAATTGGCGGTAGAAATCGATCTCTCGGGGATCGAATTATCGCGTCTCGTCGGGACGCGACAATCGATCCCCAAATCGACGCTTTTACTCCACCAGCGCAGGTAGGAGTAAACGCCGTCAACGGGGGAGCCGCGGAGGTCGATTTGCCGCCATCCTCACAGCGGGGTAAGTCGGCTCGGATACGTCGAATTCAGCTACGCTATTCGCGTAGCTGAATTTGCGTATCTTAAATCGATTCCCCTCCACACCCCAGTGAAGACGTAGCCTTAGTGTGAGTAGAAGGAGCTAGGATGAGTGGGAGAAGTAGAAGAAGAAGAAGAAAGGCAACTAAAAGAGTTGAAATCATATGAAGAAAGAGGGTAGAAGCAAAGAAGAAGTAGCAGTGACAACATTAGGTCTGACAGATCAGAAGGACCTAAAGTGGAGGGAAGGAAGCTAACAGGAAAGGAAGCTAATAATAAGAAATAAGTGAGTGAATGGGTGTGTATGGGATAATAAAGCTGGATATTTGTGTATGTATGTTGATTATTTTAATGTTTAAGAACTTGCTGTCAGCATCCTATAGCCGATTAGCTATTGCATATAGAATGTAACCACTTAAAGCTATCTTCCAGTTGTAGGATATTGCAATTTTGAGTACTTTAATGTGCATCTGTGCTAATAAAGTCACATTTTCTTAAAAAAGGCATAACATTCTATTTCTTTTAATAGATTTTAGATTTGCTGTTTTCTGAATATTATGTTTTTTAAATTTACTGTATTAGGAAATATTGTGTTTAAATAAGCAGTAATTCAACAACAAAAATCTTTGAGTGTCAATCCTTTGAGCAGAAGGCTGTATCCATATCCTCCCAAGGGCTAACAAAATTAGTCTGTTCTCCACAGGTTGGAGGGAAGCCCCCTGGTAAAACCCTGGCAGTTCCTCTATGCTGTGCCACCCCCTTTCACTTCTCAGTTTGTCTGTTTTTGGTGATTAAGTTGTGAATATAGGCAGGCCCTTGTAGGGGTGCCTGGAGTCCTATTTTCGGGGTAATAGGAACAGTTGGCTGATAAATAAGGGGTTCTGTGGGTCCCAGGACAATTGCCTACCTTCCAGGTGTAGAAAAAGACATAATTTTTAAAATAAAAAGCTAATTTCTGTCTGTCTTCTTGCAGAGAAACTGGCACTTGATTTCTGCCTCTCGGGCTCAGTGGGAAAAGTCATTTTCACACATCTGGGAATTCAGACCGGTTCCTTGTCTCCCCACCCCTGCTTCCTCATCAGGCTGAGCACTGCAACTATCATACCCTGTTCCCTGCTGGGGGCCAACTCAGGGGTCTTTAACCCTTCCCATATTGCCACTGTCCAGACAGGCAAAAAGCATAGGCCAGAGGAGGTGGGGCATCCATTGCTGCAGACTCTAGGGCAGCCACTGTGGCTTATCAGGAACAGGCTTTGGAGCCACCAGTGATTTATTGTGGGTTTATGTAGATTTAGATGTATAGATTGTGGAAGGAAAGTACCCCTCCTAGGTTCTAGGCACCTGGGCATAGTTTAAAAGCCCAGCCATACAGCGAGACCAAAGCAGCACCACCCAGCCAGCAGTAACAATTGGAAGTTTAAGCCAAAGGACAGCTGGAGTGGGAAGGAAGTGAAAGTTGAACAACTGGGAAGATTTAGAGAAGCTGTTTAGAGTCTGGGCTTTGTTTGCTGCTGTTAATGCTGAACTCTGACAACTAACAAATGTTTTGGAGAAAAGTCTTGTGAAGGCCTCAGCCCTGAACAACCTGCAGCTGCTCCAAGCCCTGCATTGGCTCTGCAATGGGCAGTGAATCAAGTCTGTGGTAATAGACCTGGGGTAAAAAACTTCAACTGTGTTAAAGTCAATGAGGGTTTTGCCATTGATCTTGCTAGAGTCAGGATTTCACCCCGATCTTCAGTGCTCGTGGCAAGCCAGGCCCAAGGCTGTGCTCGGCAGGAACAATGGAGCTGCCTGTAACAAGAGGCTGGTGGGCTAGAGGCAGGGCTTTCTCAGGAACCAGCCTGTGGTCATGTAGCTCCCTGCCTGGGATGATCACCACTTTCAGTTCATGCCGCTCCAGATCCACTGTCAGCACAGGAGCCTATAGGGATCCTGCCTGAGATCAGGGTACACACAAGAGACGACAGTCCCTGCTGTGAAAAGCTAGTGTGGCCAAGTCAATAGCTCACTAGACTAGGACTCGAGACCTGGAGTCCATTCTTGGCTCTGCCACTGGCCTGTTGCGTGACCTTGGGTAAGTCACTTCATTGCCTCGTGCCTCACTTTCTCCAGCTGTAAAATGGGCATGATACTGACCATCTTTGTGTGCGCTATAAGAGCTAGGTATTATCACAGACAAAAAGTGGGAGGGAGAACTGGGGAACAAGGCAAGGGCCTTGGCCGAAATCACACCGCAGGTCAGTTGCAGTGGTGGGAATAGACGCGTGAGTCTTGGTCTGATGCCCAGTCCTGTGCTCTGTCTGCTAGGCCACACTACCTTGCAACACAGCACCTTCTCCTCTGCCCTTGCTTTCCCTCAGTAAGGAAACTCTTGCCTACTAATGAGCCCTAGGAACCGGGACAGACATGGCCCTGTGACAGTGCAGCAGACTTTATTGCCTTCCTATAGTGCTCAGATCCCATGGAGATAAGCACAGTATAAAGTACCTGGATGGATAGAGAGATTAGATAGAGGAGCGCTGGGTTATAAATGCTTCAGGCCAGGCTGGGGCGGGGGAGAGCGGCAGGCTCTGAAGTAGACAGGTCCTTCCACCATTAGGGCCTTGAACTTCACCCTGGAGCTGGCTGGCTGCAGAGCACAGATGTGATTGCTCTCAGCCTAACCCCTTCGTGTTGGGCTCAAGGGGTTAGGTTGGGCAAGCGGGTTTTGCCAATCCCACCAAATGCCTGGCTGCAATTGTAAGCACCTAAGACCTTGGAAAATGAGGTGCCTATTTCATCTTTATTTTTGGATGAGGGTAGCCGTTAAATGCCACAACATGCTGGGTGCTGGATACGCACCTAGTGGGAGACAGAGCCTGCCCTGAACAGCCAGAGAAAGGATGAGACCAGAATGGCAGGAGGCACTGAGGGGCTGTGAGCTGGGATTGAGAGGCATTGGCAGCCAAGCCCAGGGGCAGCAGGGGATTGGGGGTGGGGGGTAACCCCACGCTGAGATAGCAGGTAGCTGTGGGTCAGGATTGAGGGGCACTGGCAGTGCTGAGTGTGGGCAGTCCAGGGCTGGGACAGCAGCGGGGGCTATAGGTTGGGATTAAGGGGTGTTGGCAAAGCGGGGGGGAACACAGGGCTGGGATAGGAGGGGGCCAAGAGGGGCAAGTTTGAGGTTCATTGGCCCCTCAGTCACACTGCAGTGCCCTCTGAGTCAGGAAAGTATCTCCAGCTTTGATTGTCCCTCTGGGTTAATGATTATTTCCACTATTGAGCACAAAGGGCATCCCAGGAGGGCGGGGAGATATAAAGCAAGAACAAGAGGTTTGTGGGGTCAGATGAAGAGCAAAGGCCTGGATCTCTCACACCCTTCTCTCTCCTGCCACTCTGGCTCATTGCAGACACACCAGGGGGGAACCCTGAAAACTGCCCTACTCAGTGGGAGCCCTGGAGATTTCCAGCAGACTCAAGGAGCTCACCTTCATTCCTTCCTGTCTGGTAAAAAGACCTTGATTTTCCTCCTGGGCTCAGGAAATGCTCTTACCCGGGGCTAGCTTCTGGAGCACATCACAGCGGTATCTGAGCTGTCTGGTAGCTGGAGTTCTCAAGCAGTGGGGAGCATCCATTCCCTTGAGTTGGGCTGGGAAGGGAGCAGGCTGAATTTGGATGGGATCATGGGCCTCCCACAGCAGATTTCCCTCCCTACTTCCCCAGAAGTGCCCAAACAATTTGTGTAGTGAATGTGCTGCTGAGAGCCATTGAACCAAACTGTAAAACCTGTATATGATGGAAACCACTTCCAGCCATGGACTGCGGTAGTACTGTACCCCTAATTCCAGTACCTATGTACTGCCCTCCCTGTCTTCTGAGTTTAGACTCTGGGAAAGTGGTGGAGGTGGGTGTGAGGGAGAGAGAGCTGAGGAAGGCGGGAGTCACGGGGGGCGGGGGATGACATGCGCTGGCTTAGCACAGGGAATCGGGTCTCCTTTAGCAGCTGTGATAGACGATTACTTAGTGACAATCTGCAGAGTTGGTCCTTTGGCTCAGGTGGGGAGTATATGAGGTTTTTTTTTAGACACCTAAGTCTCTTTGTGAATCCAGCACTTAGCCTCACTGTGCCTCAGTTTCCCCATCTGTATTATGGGGATAATGGTACAATAAAGACTGTGAGGTGCTCTGATACTACAGCAATGGAAGCAATGTAAGTACCTAAGATAGATCCACCTGTGCCTATGTTCAGGGTTAGCACAGTGCCATTGGGCAGAAGCAAGGGGGCCTCAGGGCTGCAGGTGACCGTCACTCAGCTCTCCAGGCTCCATGCCAGCCAGTGGAGCCTGATTTCACCCTAGACGGGGGGGGGGGGGGGGCACAGGAACTGCCAGACTGGAATGGATCAGAGGCAAGGGGGTCCATCTAGCCCAGTAGCCCGATGGGGGCCAGGCCAGCACCTGATCCTTCAGGGGAAGGTAACCCTCTTACCCAGCGCTTCCCGTCAGCGGATCTCAAAGCGCTTCACAAAGGAGGGTGAGTAGCTAGAGAGGAGTTTGAAGCCGGAGTGGAGGCAGGGGGTTGTGGGGACTGTGCCTCACCCGCTCAGTACTGGAAGGGCAGGAAATAGCCCTGCCTCACCCCATGTCACTCGGGATCCCCGTATTGAGAGGGGCAGGGGAACAGCCCAGCGCCGGGCTGGGGGGAGGATCACGCACATTGGGCGGAGGGGCGGGGAGACTGCAGGATCACGTGAGGGGCAGGTCACATGACAGAGGGCCCGGCTGGCTATCTGCGCAGTTGGGAGCTCTGGGGGGTCTGGCCGGCCCCTGGCCATGGGGGGAGAGGCGGGGGCACCGAGGGGCTCCAGGGCTGGAGGAAGAGTTGGGGACACTGAAGGGACTCGAGGGGGGACAGGGAGCCTAGTTTTTAGGCTGACCCGAGTGCCCGGGTGCGGGACTCAAAGCTCCTGTAATGGCGCCAGCCTTGGAAAGTCAGACCCTGTGCATTTTGGGGGGGTCAGGGAGCTAGGGGCAGGGGTATGAGGGTGCTGGCTTTAACTACTCCCTGCCAGTGTCACCGGGGGAGGTTCTGGTCTTGCAATCAGTTCCCCGCCCCAAGCTCAGCCACCCCATTTTCACTGCCCCCGGGAGGCAGGGAAACCAGGGCACAGAGGAGGGACAGCTTAGTGCTGCTGGTATTTTCCCTGCCCCCCTCAAACCTTTCCTAGCTTCTCCCATTGATAACAGTCCATCCCCCCATTTCCCTTTCCTCCGTTTCCCTCCCTCCTCTCTGCTCCCCAGACTCCCCCTTTCCCAGGTTCCAAGCCCGGCACCCATTAGCCATGATCCAGCTCCGGGTCACCCCTGAGACGTCGCTGGCCGACACGCCGGTGAGGATCCACGTCTCCGGCCTAGCGCCCACCCAGCTGGTGACCCTGCAGTCGTCGCTGACGGACGAGAGGGGGGTGCTCTTCCAGGCCCGAGCCTTCTACCGGGCAGACGAGGCTGGGGAGGTGGACGTGGAGCGGGCGGCTGCCACGGGGGGCGACTACGTGGGTGTCTGGCCCATGGGCCTCTTCTGGTTCCTCAAGCCGGAGAAGCTCTTCCACAGGCTGATGAAACGGGATGTGATGAACAGCCCCTTTTGCTTCCAGCTTGACCTCTTTGACTCCTGCCAGCTTCTTCCCTCACCCCAGGTGGTGCCCCTGGCCACTTGCACCGTGGAGAGGTGGTATGTGGGCCCCGGAGTGGAGCGTGTCCCGATCAAGGAGGGCCAGATCCGAGGGACCCTATTCCTGCCCCCTGGTGAGGAAACTGGCTCATCGCATCCCTGCCTCTTGCATCCCTTATCCCTGTTCTCCCTTCCCAGCCCAGCCTGGCGTCCCCTTCCCACCTCTCTCTGGTGCTTGTCTTGCCCTGTTTGCCATGCACAAGATCCTCTTGTACCCCCCACCCCAAAGGGTCAGTCTCCCTGCAAAAGGGCAAGACCATCAGGTAAGCTCACTGCGGACTCTGTCCTCCTCCCCGGTGTCCCAGCAGGGCCAACAGCTTGTCCCCCTTCCCTCTGTCACAGCACCCCCTGCTGGAGAGGGCGGGTTGGGACAGCTGCAGGCTCCCTCCCCTCCATGGTGTCACAGAAATGCCACCCACTGACACATCAACATTTGTATTCAGCATAAAGCCAGACTCTCCCTGTTCTCTTCCTAAATCACCCTGATTCCCTGCCATAGTGAATAACAAGCCCTTCCCGGTTGCTGAAGCAGATGTCTGGGGTCCCACTGCAACAAGCTCATCTGGAGGCCGTCCATTCCGCAGGCCTGGTTGGGGGAGTATATCGTTGCTTTTAGCTCAGCTAGTTCGGCTGCACAGCCCTGCAGCGATCACATGCTGTTGGTTTCCCTGGACCAAAGATTGGATTTAGGTGGAGCTTATAAATGCACTTAGCTTTTTATCGGTAAACATCAGTAAACACTGATTTCACCAGACACATACAAACTGACAGAAAATTATTTCCATCGATAATAATCCAAATTTGCTGATAAACAAAGTAAGAAAAATGCTGGCTGAGAACTGTAGAGTTTGATTAAAGGATAGCGACTGTATATTCTGATGTCATGTTGATAGTTTGTATTTTAACGGTTGTAAAGTTTTAACTTTTTAAATCTCAATATCTGCCACCGTTAAATAATTATTGTCTGACCCCTCCCCCCATAATTTTCCACAACATTGAACATTTTGATCGATAAATTTTTTTAAACATGCTTGAAATCCATAATTTTTGCACAACTGTGAAAATTTAAATCAATAAAAATAGAAAAAAATGCTTATAAATAAACATCAATACTATCTATTGAAATTATAAAAAAGAATTCTCCCCCCCACCCCGCCACTTATAACAGCTTCAAGGCTCATCAAGAAGTTAATTCTCTTTAGAGCCAATTCTCAGAGGATCAAATACAACGAAAACTTCCAAACTAATCACTCGGCCCCTCAGAAAAAACAGAGGTTGCCAACCCCAGGTGTTCAAAAATCACCAGATTGGCTTAAAAATCTTGAGATTTGAAAAATAATAACTATAGGGTTCTTTCTGTTGGGCATCTGCTTTCTGAGCATCTATGGGTCACATTTAACATTTCTCCAACAATGGGAGCTAGAAACTATTTTTTAAAGAAAATGAAAGCTGAGATCCTCAGGAGCATTAAAGAAAATCCCCAAATCTCACGAGACCTCAAGATGAAATGGTGAGAGTTGGCAATAGTCCTGTGGTGTTGGCTTCAACACATGAACGACAGGAATATGGAGTTCCTTAAGAGGCAGTGGCCCAGATCAACAAAGGTATTTAGGCCTCTAACTTCCATTGATATCCAGTTCAATGGAAGACTTTTGCACAAGTGAAATAGATTCCTGTTCCTGTGATCCTCCCTCTCTATTGAGCCCTAGTTTGCCTTGGAAAACAAGCTAAGCCTTAGCCCTGGGGTCACCATAACTAACTGCTGTGTTTTTCCCTTTCCCCACAATGCCTCTCTCCCCCGTTCTCTGCAGGTCCAGGCCCCTTTCCGGGGGTGATCGACATGTTTGGCGGGGCCGGCGGGCTCATTGAGTTCCGAGCCAGCCTGCTCGCCAGCCGGGGCTACGCCGTACTGGCGCTGGCGTTCTTTGGCTATGACGACCTGCCACGGGTGCTGGCAGAGGTGGACCTGGAGTATTTCGAGGAAGCAGCCAACCTGCTCTTGAAACACCCCAAGGTATGTCCCACTCTTTCACTAGGGTCCCTTCACAGCCACTGGATGAGGGGCTCCAGCCTAGATATCGGACATGTAGCAGGTCCTGGCTACAACTCTCACCCATGGGATCTACCCCTCCCTGGTGTCACAGCGCCCCCTGCTGGGGAGGATGGAGCTGGGCAGTGCAGGCTCCTCCCTCAGGGTCACATTGCCCCTTGCTAAGGAAGGCGGGGCTGGGCAGTGCAGGCTCCTCCCCCTCCATGGTGTCACAGCGCCCCCTGCTGGGGAGGATGGGGCTGGGCAATACAGATTCCTGCCCCACCCTGGTGTCACAGCACCACCACTGGGGAGGACAGGGCTGGGCAGTGCAGGTTCCTGCCCCAGGATCACAGTGCTGGGATTGGCTAGTGCAGGCTCCATCTTCTTCTGTGTCACAGCGCCCCCTGCAGGCTCCTCCTGGTCCCATCCTGTGCTGGCTCCAAATTGCCGATTCCCAGGCTGTTGGCATGATTGTTCCAATGTGGCTCCTCGTGGGTTTTTCAGGTGAGAGGCCCAGGCCTCGGAGTGATCGGGGTGTCCAAAGGGGCTGAGGTCGCGCTGGCCATGGCTGCCTTCTTAGAGCAGGTGGTGGCCACCGTCTGGATCAATGGCACAGGATTCCTGAATGGCACGCCACTGCGTTACAAAGGGGTCCACATCCCCCACATCCCCTACTGCCCTGAGCGGCTGCTCATCACAGAGATGGGGGTCCTGGACAACTACCACGTCTTCAAGGACCCCCGGGACCCGGCCCACGCGACTGCCGCCATCCCTGTGGAGAAGGCTCAAGGGGAGGTGCTCTTCGTGGTGGGAGAAGCCGACCGCAGTTTTAACAGCAAACTGTTTGCTGAGATGGCCATAGAGAGGATGAAGAGCCATGGGAAGAAGAACTATACCCTGCTCTCTTACCCCGGGGCCGGGCACCTCATCGAACCGCCGGGGTCCCCACTGTGCAGCATCTCTCTCATCCGGGGGAGCCCCAAACCTGTGCACTGGGGGGGGTGAGCCAGAGCCCCATGCCAAAGCTCAGGAGCATTCCTGGCAGGAGATCCTGAACTTCCTTGACCGCTGTCTCGTACCCACCAGCAACCTGTAACAGCCAAGGGAGTGGGGGGCCAGGGGGACCCCCTCCTGCCAGGCTGGGAGAGCTCCTCCCATCCCCCCCAGCCTGATCAACATAATAAATACTGAGAACATAGAAAGAATCTGTGGGAAACTTCCAGGGGAGCACTGGGGATGGGGGTGGGGGCAAGGGCAAGTGCCCACACAAGGAAGCAGGCTGGCCTGCTGCTTAAGGCACTGCCCTGGATTTGGGAGACCTAGGCTCAACTCTCAGCCCTGCTGCTGACACCGTGGGTGGGTCACTGAATCTTTCTAAGCCTCTGTTCCCTGTCTGTAAAATGGGGATAATGCTTCTCCCTTGTCTGCGTACACAGCAAGCTCATCGATGGAATGAGCAGCTCTTAGTGTGTGTGTGGTGCCCAGCTCACGGAGCCTGGCTCAGAGTCTGAAGTGCTACTGGAATCTAGCTGGTAAAGAGGGCTATGTAGGGGAGGGCACCACTTTGAAGGGAGGAGGGGACACCCTGCATTTATAGGCAGGGGAATCCACAGGAGATAATTAGTTTAGATACAAGGGAACAGGTATGCCCCATTAGGTTATAACTAAGGCTAAGATTTTTTCACAGATATTTTTAGTAAAAATCACAGCCCGGTCACAGCCAATAAAGAAAAATTCACAGAAGCCTGTGACCTGTCCCTGACTTTTACTAAAATTATCCATCACAAAATGGGGAGCTGCTACGCAGCTGCAGGGGCCTGGCGGGGAGCTCTGGGGCCCCCCACCATCCATGGGGGCTCAGAGTTCCAGGGTCCCTCTCCTCCGCACCTCTGAGCTGTGGGCTTCCCCACTGCCAGAGGCTGAGAGCTGTGGGGGCCAGCCAGAAGTTGCAAGGTCCCCCCTCATTCATTTGGAGCTCCCCTGCGCCCATGGTGGCGAGGAGCTGCAGGGTACCCTGTGCCCAGCGGCAGGCGGGTGTTGCAGGGAGCTGTGAGGGTCCCCCCACCGCCCGCGACAGCCAGTAGCTGCAGGGACACAGCCTCCCACGGTGGCTGGGAGCAGCTGGGTCTCCCCTGCCACCTGTGGTGGCCGGGAGCTGCGGGGTCCCCCACCACCCACGGCAGCTGGAAGCTGCAGGGTACCCCCACTGCCTCGGAGCTATGGGGCCCCGCTGCCTTCTGTGGCGGGGGTACCCTGCAGCTCCTTGCCACTCTGGGTGGCGGTGGGACTCGTCAGCTCCCAGCCACCTTGGACTAAAGTCACGGAGGTCTTCGTAGCCTTAGTTATAACAAGTTCAAAGTGGATTAAACTGCAGCCATTGCACCAGATATTACGTTGGATCTTCTGATGTCCTCACCCTGCCCTCTTAGCTCCCAGAGAAAAGCTTGGTTACTGCACATCCACGGCTGCTTGGTTTCCAAGGTGATTCACTGAAAATGACGTTAAAGTGAGACGGCCCCATTGTGCCATGATAATTTACAGAAAACAATCTCATCATCATGGCTGTGAATTAACTGCCACGCTAGCCTGGGGAATGGCCATCGTTGTCTCCTGCGGCTAAACGCCAGCCCTGCAGAGCTAAGAGCAGGAGCCTGAATGGCTTGAGTTCCTTGCTGTAACTGAGATGGAGCCTCAGACAATCAAGCACAAAGGGGAGTGCGGGGGTGTCATACTCAGTGAATAATGGGCTATGTCTAGGCTGAGGGGGCCATATACCCTTGTACAAAGGGGCAGCCTTTCTCGTTGTCCTTCTTCATATCCGTAAGCCATGAGCTTTCGCTGCAACATAAATCCACGAGACACAGACTGTGCTCCAGGTTGGGCGTGATACTGATCGAGGAGGATTAGGGGAATAATCCTTGTGTTTTAAAGGCCCCAGCCCAGGCTTTCACCATAGAAGGGTGACACAGACTGTTCATGTCACTTCACCCTTCGCTAAGTAGCGCCTAACATTACTCCTCACATCCAGTCATGCCCCTGGGGTGGATTAGGCTCAAACAGTGATGAGCTATTCTGCTGTGGGGGGAGCAAATTAATGAGCCTTGGGGCTGATTAGAAAGGAGCATTTGTTAAAGGGACATCATCCTGTTGAAAAAAATCCTACCTGAAAAGCCACACAAATATCCTTCGCTATGTTCACGTTAGTTCTTCTGACAGAAAATTTTTTTAAGCATTTAACTGATTCAGCAACAGGACGTTGACTTACTTACTTTTTCTGTCCTTTTGCTAAATGAGAATAGACTCATCAGCTTCAGGGCTGTGGGTTGTCAGTGTCTGGTCAATTTCATGTCCCACTCTTGTGCTAGCACAAAGCCTGACTCAGTTATAACCGCAAAAGTCGGGGGACCAGCTTAAAGCACCATTAACATTTAAATGTGACCTTGGATCTGGGCTGATGATAGTACAGTCCCAGGGTTTAACCCAGTTCCAGTGGCACAGAGCTGTGCATGACACAGCTGAGAAGGGGTGGGGCAAGCTGTCTTTAAGCCACCTTTGCATTCTGCCGGCCCTCAGAGCTGCCAAGGGCAGATTTGACCCCTGGCATAATTTGGAGCAATCTCAGGAAAGCTATTAAGTTCTGCTGGCTTGGTACGATCCCCAAGGGCCTGCTATGCCAGCCATGGATTGTTGAAACACAGTGCACTATCTTCCATCAATGGCCACTAGCCAGGAAGGGCAGGGATGGTGTCCCTAGCCTCTGTTTGCCAGAAGCTGGGAATGGGCGACAGGAAAGGGATCAGTTGATGATTACCTGTTCTGTTCATTCCCTCTGGGGCACCTGGCATTGGCCACTGTCAGAAGACAGGATACTGGGCTAGATGGACCTTTGATCTGACTCAGTATGGCTGTTCTTATGTTCTTATGTACTATGAATGTACTCACTCCATGCTGGGGAGAAGGGTAGCATGAGTTCAAAGCAATAACCATGAAGTGTTATTTCCACCTTCACCTAACACATGAGCCAGGGGGTCAGCCAATGCAATCAATAGGCAGCAGGTTTAAAACCAACAAAAGGAAGTATTTCACACGACGCACAGTCAAGGTGTGGAACTCCTTGCTGGGGGATGTTGTGAAGGCCAAAACTAATGGGTCAAAAAAGAATTAGAAAAGTTCATAGAGGATAGGTCCATCAATGGCTGTTAGCCAGGATGGGCAGGGATACAACCCCATGCTCTAGGTGTTCCTAGCCTCTGACTGCCAGACTCTGAGTGGATGCCAGGCAGGCCCACCAATGGGGGCATGAGGGGGCAAAAGGGGCAATTGCCCAGGGGCCCGGGTGATTTAAAAGGGCCCAGGGCCGCAGGGCCGCAGGGCTCCTAGGCATAGGCACCAAGTGGGTGCTGAGCACCCACCGGCGGGCCCCTTCCCCCCCCCCGAGCCTCCCACCAGCGGCAGCCCCACCAATCAGCTTGTCCCCGTTCCACCCAGTACCTCCCGCCCGCCACCATCAGCTGTTTGGCGGCGTGCGGAAGGCGCTGGGCGGAGGGAGAGGAGCAGGGGTGGGGAGGGGGTGGGCCTGGGCAACTTATGGCTCAGATGCCAGGAGTGGAAGGGGCAGGATCAGCCCCTTCCAGCCGCTGAGACACTCCTCTGCAGCCCTGCGCGGCGGCTGCCTTAGAGAGCCTGACTGGGGAGGTCACTTCCATTTCCTGCCCAGCTCAGGTGCCGGGGTCCCCAGCAGCTGAGCCGGGCGGGGAGTGGAAGCCGCCTCCTCCCCAGCCAGGTATCTCAGCCAGCTCCGGGGCAGGGCTGCAGAGCAGCGACCGGGAGGGTCCGGTAGCAGCTCGCTGGGTACCAGCGGGGACCCATTGACTGTTCTGCCCTGGGGCCCAGAATTGCTGTCGGTGGGCCTGAGGGGATGGCTCACTCGATAAATTGCCTGTTCTGTTCATTCCCTTCTTAGCACCTGGCACTGGCCACTGTCAGAAGAAAGGGTACTGGGCTAGATGGACCATTGGTCTGACCAGTATGGCTATTCTGATATAATCTATGTGGGAGATGGATTCCAAACAAGCACAACCAGTAATGCCTTTCCCAAGAGTGCAGGTGGAAATTCCCCACATAATAACAGAGCTATGGGCAAGACAGCGGAGTCAGGGAATGAGCTGATCCCAGTTCACATGGCTCGCAGCCCACCTGATCCCATTGAGGTCAGTTGGATTCTGCTCTGAACATGGCCCATGGGATCTGAGGTCCTGGAGGAAACTTCTGGGCCCATCAGATCCCAAGCTGGTGTAGCTCTGAGCTGGGCGTTGTCAAAGACCCCTGACAAAACCACTGACACACTGTTATCTTCTATCATATAGTCTAGGCTAGTCCGGTGGCTGTCCCAGAAAGTCTGTGTTGCTCCCGTCCCATGTCAGACCAAAACCCTAGGCAGGATAATGGGAATAAACATGGTTGATCTCAACTCCTGCTTTCCTTAAGGAAAAATTCCTCGCTGGGGGTTTGCTGGGTGGGAGATCTCTGGCTCTGAATGGAGCTTCTCCAGTCTGTCAGGAAGTCCCTCTGAGAAGAAGCCCCGAGTGACCGGTCATCACTCACAGACCGATGAGACCCACCTGAACTCTAAATTCCCCCATTCTGAGCCCGGAGTGCAACTGATTCCCTGCTTTTCCCCTTGCTCGGTCTCTACTAACTTCCCAACCCCTCGCCACTTGCCTCTAGCCCACCTGTCACCCTCCAACTCCTGTGCTGCCCTCCCAGCCAGCTGCCATTTCCCTGTCATCCTAGATCGGCTTGGACAGGGTGGCATAGTGCCCCCTTTTGTAATGTTCTGGAACCTACCCACCTTGTTACCCCTGTTGCAATGTTCTGGGACTCCAGGTTGGTAGCCACGCCCCCCCCAGCCCCAGCCCCAGCCCCCCCTTTGTTGCTATAGCACCCCTTCTTTTAATGTTCCGGAATCCTTCCATCTCGTTGCCACAGTCACCCCATTAAAATATCAGGGGAAGGAGTTTTTATCTCAGCTGTGGTTGACATGCAGGGAGCTGCTCGGTGTTCTCTGGTCCAATGTCATCTGCAGAGTGGGTCACCGCGAAGCAGGGCCGGCTCCAGGCACCAGCGTAGGAAGCAGGTGCTTGGGGCCGCCAATTCAAAGGGGCGGCACTCCCGTCTGACATCGGGGCAGCACGTCCGGGTCTTCGGCAGCAATTCGGCGGCAGGTCCCTCATTCCCTCTCTTCCACTTTGAGCTGCCGCCAAATTGCCGCCGAAGAGGAAGAACCCGCTGCCGAAGTGCCGCTGAAGAAGCCGAAGTGCCGCCGCTTGTCTTTTTTTTTTTTTTTTTTTTTTTGCTGCTTGGGGCAGCAGAAAAGCTGGAGCCGGCCCTGCCGCGAAATGAGCCTTCATTCATTCTGAAACTGAAGCTAGTGTAGACGGCAGCTGTTTTCTGAACAAGGACCCAAGCCTGGCAAACACTTAACCATAGGCATCGATTTCAGTGGCACAACTCGTGCTTCAAGTCAAGCATGTGCTTATGCATTTTATTCGCTCCTGGCCCAAAAGGGGTTTCCCGTAGTCAGCTCCTGACATGAGCTCTGTGACCCCTGCTGGCTTCCCATCAATTTCCAGCAAGCGTTTAAGATGTTGGCTTGAGCTGTAAAGCATGCTCTGTGTCCAATTCAACTGCATGCCTC